TTTATCTCAAGTCTAAAAGTTTTTGAAATTGGAAACATGAACTTGGACTCTTACGATTATATTTTTTTTATTATTGAAACTTATGCTATGCGTAGAAAAACGAATTCTTTATTATTATGTTTCATAAATATATATTAGGTCTTGATTTAAACATAATTAATGTTTAAGTACTTGTAAAGTCTTTTTGTATAGGATATAAATAACAAATTGTTGCAGATAATAAAGTAAATGCCATGAGAGGAAATTTAGTTCATTACTTGGGGTAGCTTATCATAAGTACTATAAAAAAAATTCACCATATTTGTTTTTCCTTCTGTATACTTAGCCGTCTTTCTTCTGATTAAGATCTTTGAATGAAATAATTGATTTCATAAGAAAACTTTTCACAAAACCTTTCAAATTCTATTTATTTTTCAACTAAAAATCATTCTTGGATCAATCTGATAGTAGAATCCTGTTAAAATCTATTATGGATAAAAAAAACAAAGAGATATAATCTCAATATGCAGAATAAAAATGAAATTTGCAAGCATTGATATTTTATTTTTTAATATAGCCATATAAGCATTATAATCAGATATTTTGATAATCTAATTAATCTTCCCAATTTCTCATGAATATTATGTACAAAAAGTGATATTTAAAAAACATGTCAAAACATAAAAGATATAATTTATAGTATTCAGAAGCAATATAAAAAATTATTTTAATTAAGTTGTATTTATTTTAAATAAATTTCTTGAGGATTTCAATTTATATGAAAAATGGTAATTACACATTATTACTCAATGAACCAGGTAGAAAACCAAGGAGAAATTCTTGTTAATAAATAATCATTTAGAATTGGGAAATTATGAAAATACTAAGTATCACAAAAAGACAGGAGATGAAAAAAGATCCATAAATAAAATGATAGAGTTTTATTTTCCTCAATAAAGTAGTAGCAGAGCAATGAATTCTTTGGACATTTTAATGATTAAAATTAGAGATCTAAATGCTTTTAAATTTAAGATATTTGGTATATGAAATTCTTTTTTGTTAACTTCTTTTCCAGTGTTGATCTATCTAAGAATTCATCAACAAAATGATTTTAATATATTTATTGTAATAATTTTTGTCAATTTTAATGAGGGCGACTCTTTATGGAATATGACACATTAATACTATGTAAACTTTTTAAAGATCGATATAACATTTCTTCGCATATTTCTATCCTCTCTCTTTTCTCTTGAAGTTAGTTTCAATATTTAATTAATTTAGAAATTCTAAAGCTATTTCATAAATTTCATTCAATTCAGCTAAGAAGTTCTATACATTTTTCTACAATCTCTTAAAATTATTTCGGCAACACACTTATATTATATGAAATGTCTCTTAGAATTATTACTAAGACTTCAATCAAATCAAGAAAGCATCTTTTGTTCATTATATCATAATTAATTTAATATATTTAATTTCTTATTTTATGATTCAAGTTATTTGATACATAATATAAGTTAGACTGATTTTTACTATAACTTAACATATTTACATATTCTTCCAAAAAATATTTTTATTATTAAATTGACTTTCCATAAATACTGAGCTGATTTCTCAAGACAATGATATTACGATTATACTTCTATTTTTAGTTTTTCAATTAATTCTTCAGACAGAAATTTCCAGATCACTATAAGAATCAAAAAGAATATATTATTACTATTCTTTTGAAAAATAGTATTTTGATTTACCAGAATTAAAAAATTTATGGATATCATTCTTCTAAAGTTAAGAATAAGTTTATTTAATTTAATATCTTGTCAGCATTCATTATTATAAATAAGATTAGAAATTTAGTGAAGGTCTTAACATTTAATTAAGTTGAAATTTATTGCAATAGAGAGCTAATTACCTTAGATTATGTAAAATTTGGGCTTTTGAAACTTTAAAATTATCAAATGTGCACCATTTTCTTGCCAAAAATTAAAATAAGTTTTCTTATTCAATTTATTTTTCATATTAACTTTAAAAGTATTATGAATATGAAACTCCAACATCATTCTGTAAAAATTTCTAATTAACTCAATAAAAGAATCATGGAAGAATAGAATCAATATTGTAACATATCTTACAAATTGTTATTGTGTGCACTAAAGAAGGAATCCATCATTTTACATTATTATATTAATATTTTTATGTTATTTTATATTTCATTATATTTTCTAATCTAAATTTCTTTTGAACTATAATCCCAAGTTATTAAATACTACCCATCATCACTCATACATCCATATAAACTTTAATTTCCAAATTCAATAGATTATTCAGTTTTAAATTCACCATTTTCGTTTTTCCTTATTAAATTCACATATTTATAATTCTTATTTACAAGCAGAAATTTCGATTTAATATGTTCTTAAGGAAAGAAATAACAATCATCACTTCCACTTTAACAAGAACATCTTTTGCCTTTAAATACTATTTATTTGACTTATTCATTTCATAAACATGCATTTTTTCTGTGGTTAAAAAGAGAATACATCATCATTTATAAAGCATATTCGTTAACCAGATTTTTCAACCTATATCGTTTAGATTACAATCCATTTAGAATCCTTTTATGATTGTTCTATTATTAATATTTGTGCATCCAATCCACATGAAATCAATATATTCTATTTTTAGTTTAAACTTAATCCATATACAATATCAGTATGATTTGTGATAGTTTATTTTTGTAACCATTGATTTTACTTCGTCCAAAATTTAATAGTTTTATCGCAACTACCTGAAATAATTAAATCTTCATTATTACTCAATTCTAAGCACCGTATATAACCATTATGTTCATTTAATTTTTATTTGCAAATCCATTAATTGCTTTGATTAATTGTCCATATTATAATTGATTTATCATCACTATAAAATGATTAGATTTTTTCATAAAGTTTAAAGTAGTTACATCATCTTACATCATCTTAATGTTCTTTTAAAAGTTGAATTTGTTTCAAAACTTCTTATTTCAATTCAAATACTTTAATTTCATTTTTAAGTATTAATTTATAAGCGAATTGTTTTAGAATTAATTTAGGAGATGGTGGAATAATCAGTAATTATTATTCATTTAACATTTGCTAAAGTTATTGAATCTCTAAATTTTGAAATTATAATTATTATTTTTAACTTTTAATAATGTCTTCTAATTATTATTTTTCAATCATCTCTTTTTCTAAATTTTGATTGAATTATTTATTTAATTCTTAATTAAGGCAATCTTCTTTCTTTTTTACTTGATTAGATACCTTAATTAAATATGTTACTTATTGAATTAGTTAATTTTAAAATTATTAATTGTGGAAATCTAATGATGAAAACTAAGGCAATAAATAATTTAATAAAAAATTTCTTGATTATTATTATTATTGTTGTTAAATAAATAACTATTCAACATCATCCATGGTCTTATCAATAAAATTTTCAATATTATTGAATGATGACTAAATTATGAATACCGCTATATCCTCCTAAAAGGAGGAACGATAAGTTTAAATTTATATTATAACCATTCAAAGGGTTTTATGGTTTATTTCAGAGTTCTTATTGTTAATGGTCATTTTAATTATTTAATTTAAATTAATGATATTATTAAAGAAAATGAATTACTTGCTAGCAAAAATAGTAAGAAATATTAAGATTTATATAAAATGAATTTTGATCTGAATAGATATCTCTGAATATTGTATACATAATAACTGACAAAAATTAAGTTTATCAATTAATTTGATTAACTTGGCTTTTCTAGATTGAATATTTTAGCATTGATTGGAATAAATATGATCGTAGCCTTGAAGTTTTTCTCTTTATTTTTTTAATAGTTAGACATTTTTTGAAAGATATTTATTTTTGGATTTTATTTTTATAATTGTTCAAATTCATTGTTGATAATTAAAACACATTTAAGATATTTCTTTATGAGATTACTTAATGCAATATTTTTCGTCTAATACGTATATCTTTAAGTTAATCAGTTATTATTTTTTTTTTTTTATTCTCCAAAAATATCCAAATCCTATTTTTTTATTCTTCAGGTATTTATCGATTATTCTTATTCTTCTATTACATCTACTTTGTTAATTCTATACCCATCTGATTAGGTCACTCCTTTTATGTTACTTATTTTTTTCAATTCGTCGTTCTCTACTTGGCTAGATTCATCTATCTATCAGTTTAGATGAATTCGATAAAATTTAATTTTCTGTTGATTTAGCATAACTATTGAATGCTAAGTGGATAGACATCCATAACATGTGATTATCATCATACCTATAATAAATGATTTATTATTACCAATTTCTGGTTATTAGATTTATCAATAAAATGCAACTCCAAAAATTTCACAAAATTTAAATTATTATATTTAATATTTGTACCTTCTTATCTTTGAAACGAGACTATTTCTTTATTCTAAATCCTGAGTTCCCTTAGTTAAACAAAAATAGAAAATTAAAATATTTTATATCTAATCGATAAAATGGAAAAAAATGAAATATATAAAAAGCTTTCTGAAAATTCTAGTTGTTTTTCTCTGTTTGCTTATTTACATCTCCTTATCTCCTTAAATACTTAAAAAAATAATTCAAATTAATTATAATAAGAAATCCTTTAAATTATTTATATTAAATTTAAAATTTAATCGCTTTGGTTTTATTCCAAAAAATTTAATCATATAAACACACCGCTGTAGACCCAAAAATCTCAGCCAAAAGCTATAAGTGATAGCCAAAATATGAGGAAATTTAGCTAAATTCATAATTTTATTCTAAGGCAATCATCTAGTTTTTACCTCTCATAATTAATAATTCATAAATGCATACATTTATCTTTCTTCCCTCACTTTTTTTGTTTCACTTTGTAATATATAATTAAATGTTTCAAATTTATAAATTATAGTTTTTTTGTTCTTTTTTGATATCAGAAGGCAATCCCCCTTCTTTAGGATCATCTTTTAGGAAGAATTTTTGTATTTTCTCTTATAGTTTATTCTTCAAATTCTAATACTCCTATTACAACAAATTCTAATTCTACAAATAAGCTTGAGATCAACTATTTTTATGATGCACAAAATTCAACTATTTTATTTTTATCTAAAGAATTCATAAAAATTTTCCGATTATTAAATACCTATTTTATTACTTTCATGTTTTTCATCTAAAAATTCACTCCATATCACCATCCAATTACAAATTTAGATAACTCTTAATATACTACATAAATCTTTACAAATTGCTTCTTGAGATTTAGTTCATTAAATAAAATCATTAGTTAGCTTACCCAGAGTATTAAAGCTTTCTTTAATTGAATACGATGTATTGTTTAAATTCTCTAAATCCATACACAATTTACGAAAATTATTTCCAGGTTTTTTGTGTGTTCTTGTGAATTTTTCAGATAATCTGTCATTAATAAGAATTATTCAATAAATCATAATAAATTTGCAAAATGACCCATTAATTATTGTATCTTATTATGGTTTTAATAATCCTTACTATTTGTCTTATTAGTTGAACTTTCTTTTAATTTTGCAACATTTTTTATTGAAAAAAAAAAAGAAATAAAGAGAAGTCTTAAATAATTAATAAAATAAGCAATTCTAAAGCAATAATTCCATAATTTTCATACGCTTTTGTAAACATGCCACATTTTTCTAAGTATTGCTAAATTAAATAAATATTTATAATCAATTTCTTTCCAGGAATTTAATCAAGTGACAAGGATTTAGTGATAATCATCAAATTGAATTTATAAAATAATTTAAAAGTCAGTAGTTACTAATATATCTCTCAATTTTAAAAATCAGTTAATCTTTTTTTAAATTTCCATCTTATTGGTTTCGTCTCAAAATTAAATTCATAATGTGATGATATAATGCTTTCAGATTTACACATACGTTCATGCATTATATCGTCTCCCAAATATATGATCAGTTAATTTTATTCTTCCTGGTAGTTAGCATTAGACTTCTGTAATAAAGTTACTACAGACTATCTTACACTTTCAGTATCTGAAATTATGAATCGGTGAATTCTGAAAACAGGTTTCTTAAATTCCTTTTGTACGATGATTTACCTTTTATTTACATTTCTTTTTAATTCTATTTATTAATACTCAATATTTATTGATTTCATTTGATTTTATAAATTTTTATTCGTTTTATTTTTTAAAGTTTTATTTTGAATTTTATGTTTCTAATCTCATGCCTTAATGACGATTTCGTTTTCAAAATAATTAGATGTAATGAACTAATTAATAATATGAAAAACTATATTAATTAAAATAGTTTTAAAACAATGCTTTCTATATCTTTTATCTATCATGTTTAGGCTGAGATTATTCTATTTTTTATTAGATTTCTATCTTTCTATATTATTAGGTTATCTCTATTATACCAATCTTCATTATGATTTTTATACTTAAAAAATAGTTTCCTAAATTCCTAAAGTAGTTATAAAAAGCTCAAGATTTTTCAAATACTCTCAATCCAATAGATTTACAAAGATTATAAATATATCATACGATAATTGTGTTTATATTAGCTGAAATAGACAAAGAGCTATACCTTATATTTGAAAAAAATTCAATATCTTTAGAAGAAGAATAATACATTTACGAAAAAATTAATAACTTCGAAGCTAGATTTAAAAAGGTGTAGGATAAAAGAAAAAAAATGATAGCCCTTTATGAAAAATACATTGTTGAATGTTTTAGGGTTTCAAATAATAAATTTAGAGGAATTTAAACAAAATCAATAGAATCTCGATTTTAAGTTAAGATATTTTACAATAGCCAAACAGCACTAATTAAACTTATTTTATAAGTCATTATTCTTGCAATTATTTTCGTTTTAGATTTTAGACAGAATAATGTGAAAATCATCTTAGAATCATTACCGATTGTTTACTCTTCTCGATGAAATAATTGATTCTTTAGGGGAATATACTTAGAAACAAAAATTAAAGCCAGGATGATAAGACTAACCAGCATTCTGGAGAATTAGAGCAAGAAAAATATAATATTTGGAGCATTTAATTTGATTAAAATATAAAAGTTGAATCTTGTAAAAGAGCAGCAGTCCAAAAATTTGTATTGGGTATAAAGCATTCTGTAATAATATTGAATTTTTTAGAGAAAATGATTAGTAGATAATTTATGAGTCAATCCAACATGAAATTTAGAGATTTAATATTAAACTGCATTATAAATGAAAATATAATGATTTATCTAATTGTTTAATTATTTTACAAATATTATTTTTAATAATAACAAAAAGTAAATCGATTTTTTTTCTCAATCAATTACTTATTTTATATAGTGTAAACACCACAAGTTTATTCTTTGCTTAATTGTAATATCAAGTTTCCCTGATCTAATTTTTCACATTATTCACACAACAATTCAGTTAGATAATCATATTATTTCGAATCTAGATTTTTTAGCTTATTAGCTTATGATAAAAAGTAAAGGATTATGAGAACCGGTGTGAACAAAACTAAGAAATAATAAAATTCATTTAGTTTCCAGATATTTTAAATGATTTTTCATATTAGAATGAAGTTTTTTCTATGTTTTTGACAACTTAGTAGCTCTTGATAATTGAAAATCAATAATATTGAAAGATTTGTAAAAGAAATATTATTAATAATATTTATTTTACAAAATGAACTTTACAAAAGAGAACCCAATGAGTAAATAGGAAGAATAAACTATAGAAAAAATAGTTTACTATTATACAGAAGATAATGCTGAAAAAATAAAAATTTAAATTAAATTCACTTCAGGTCATTAAATCACCTATTCAGACAATAGAGGAATCTTGAGAGTGTAAGTTTATTTATAAAATTAAGAGTAAAAGTGAATGGTGTTATTGAGAATCCAGAAGTATTTAATAATATGAATCAAATCGAATATCTTTATTGGAAAAGTTAGTATGATTAGAACAAAAAAAATATTTGCAAATGGATTGTTTCTTGGGATTAAAGAGTTTTAAAGAATGTTGGGGGATACTAAAGGATAGGGAAAAAACAAGGATTATGGGTAGATCTATTCAGAAACTTTTGGAAGTAAGTTTTTAATATTTAATATTTTAAATAGTTAAGAACGAGTTTTTGAAATTGGAGAATATTGTGATGGCTTAAGAATGGGAAAATGGAATTTTTTCAAAGATGGTTTAAAGATGTAAATAATAATTAATTAATTAGTGGTGGTGGGTTTTACAATATTGTTGGTGAAAAGTAAGGGAAATGGATTGAATTAGATAAAGGGTTTTATTTTAGAAAATAAGTCAAGTATAATGGAGAATATGATAAGAATGGTAAAAAAGTAGGCAAATGGGATATTTTGTTTCAACAAAATGTTGATTCATTTAAATTAATGTAAATATTATATATTTTTAAAGGAAATAGTGGTGGCGGAATATATAATCAAGAAGGAAATCAATAAAAGATTGGAAAATGGATAGAATTATATGATAGATTTAATAGTTATGCTTAGATTACTTATAAAGGTTAATATAATATGAATGGTATGAAGGTAGGTAGATGGGAGTGTATGTTTAATATACCCAATAAGCAGGAATAAAAATAAATGTAAATATGATATAATTAAGGAATAATATATCTAATTGTTTAGTGGTGGCGGAGTTTATGATTAAGAAGGAGGGCAGAGAAAGATTGGAAAATGGACAGAGCTGGTTGAAGACTTTAAAGTAACTTATAATGGGGAATATAATATGAATGGCATGAAGGTAGGCAGATGGGATATTATGTAATATGATTGGGAAAGATAAAAATATGAAATAATGTATATATCTAAATATAAGTATAAGGAATATAGTGGTGGTGGGTCGTATGATTAAAAAGGAAATTAAATAAAGATTGGAAATTGGGTAGAATTTCATAATGAGAAATAAGTCCTTTATAATGGTGAATATAATATGAATGGTATGAAAATAGGTAGATGGGATATTAAGTAATGGTTTTGGAGAACATAAAAATATATACAAATGTAAATATTAGATTAAATAAGAAATATAGTGGTGGTGGATCATACGATCAAGAAGGAAATTCGATAAAGATTGGAAATTGGGTAGAACTAGATGAAGATTTTGATTGCAAGAAATAAATAATATCTCATGGTGAATATAATATGAATGGTCTGAAGGTAGGTAGATGGGTTATTATGTATTGTAAAGAAAATGAGCACTAATATAGATAAATGTAATTATGAAATAGGTCTAGAAATTTAGTGGTGGTGGTTCATATGATCAAGAAGGAAAGTAGATAAAGATTGGAAACTGGATAGAGAAGGATGAAAACTGTTAAGTAGTTTATAAAGGTGTATATAATTTGAATGGTCTAAAGGTAGGTAGTTGGGAGATTATGTATTGTGAATACAATGAACTGGAATATAAATAAATGTAAATATGATATTAGAAAAAAGAATATATAGAGGTGGGGGATCATATGATCAAGAAGGAAATTAGATAAAGATTGGAAATTGGATAGATTTGGATGAATGGTTTTCTCCATTGAAATAATTCATTTTTAAAGGTTAATACAATATATCTGGTGTAAAGGTAGGTCGGTGGGATATTATGTAAAACAAATGTGGATAATAAGAATATCAATAAATGTAAATAATTCATCAGTTAATTTAATATAGTGGTGGTGGATCATATGATTTAGAAGGAGTTTAGAAAAAGATTGGTAAATGGATAGAACTGTATCGAGGGTATTTTAGGTAAAAATAAGTAACTTTTCATGGAGACTATAATATGAATGGTATGAAAGTAGGGCGATGGATAGAAATCAATATTTGGGATAATAGCAAACGAGCACATATTTAGTATGATTATTGAAAAGAAGAGAAAATATGATATATCTGGATTAAGAACAAATATTAATTTTATTTTTTATTACGTGCTATAATATGTTTTTAAAAAATTTATGTAATTTATATATTAAAATTTGTTAATTGTTTTATGTTTTTACACTCTCTACGATTTTCAAGGATGATGCAAATAAAATTAAACAAATCTTCAATTATCACAAAAAAAATTTCGATTTCATGAAATCGACTCATTATTAGTTCATTAGAGACTTATATATATTTTTAACAAATTATTGAAATTATTGATGAGTAAAAGCTGAAAATATGAGATTAAATGATGCTTTAGTAGATATAATTTGTCCAATATCATAGTGGGGTAATAGATTTATAATAATGAGATAAAATAATCTTGATGATAAATAACAATAAAATTTTTGTTTTGGCTATTTTCCTTGCTCATCATTTTGTATCGACCCTCATTTTACTGGAACCGTATCCTTGTTTGTAACCTTATTTATGTTTTTAGAAATGCAGTTTAAATACTAAAGCTAATTTGATTCCTAATATTAATTTTTAAGGCTAAAATTAATTCCAATTATAATTCTAATGTTAATTGACTTTTCAATTAAGTTTCTGTATCATTTTAAAATTTTTATTCCTTTTTTATCTGACTTAATTTCTAACTTAAATACTAGATTTTCATTTATTCCAACTTATAATTAATCTTATATTATTAAAATGACGTTCTATCTTTTCATCATCATCAGATTAATTGGCTTAAACATATTCTGATCCGGTATCAAAAATAATTGATACACAATATAAATAATGCTGTGAGCATTGCTAAATTTCATGTTTTTTTATCTATTTTGTATTCTTTCTTTACAATAATAAACTTGATTCTGGTTTATGTACATTTTGATTAATTGCTTTTGTTTTCACTTTGGTAGTTACATTTTTTTCATTCCAAAATCACTTTAATTAAAATTTCGTCATTTCCTTGCTCAACAAATTTATTAATCTATTTAATGATAAGAGAAATTATTGAATGGTATCAAATCAAATTTTATATAAAGTTTGCTTTAAAATTATTTAAACTTTTAATATTGTTATGTTGGATTTAATGAACTTAAAGCTTTTCTCAATAGTAATCTATACTTAGTGAAATATAAGTTTTATTTATACTATAATTTCTAATTGGCTTAAATTGAAAATTTAAAAGAAATATTTTCAATTAAAGTTTTAGTAAATTTGGGATATTCAAAACACTCATCCAAAATTATGGTTTGATCGCGCAACTTAATAATGAAAGCTTTTAAACATAGTCATCATTGTATTTTTATAAATTAATAAGAATTTTAATTAATAACCTAATTAAAAGTTAACAAAATGAGAATACTTTTTTGAAATCTAATTAGTTTATCTAGTTGATCTCCAAATTAAAACACAGTACTTTATAACATAATTATAGAAAGTAGTTTGATATGCGACAAAATATTATTAAAAAATGGATTTAAATTAAAATTAATTTTTAGTATTAAAATTATATGGCAATTTATATCAAATTTTATTACAGACACAATTTTTTCACCTCATTTAACTCGTATGTAGATCTTACAATTCATAATTAATGTGATAAGGATTTATGGAAGTTATAGAACCCATTTTGTTTGTAAAAAAAATAATTTAGTTGGCAATTAGAAATCTGGAGTAAAAATATTAATATGATTAGGTATTTTATAAATTCAATAAGTGAGCTTAATATTAATTTAACAAGATTCTATTTTTTTGATGATTGGGAAAACTGATTCAGTTATTATTGATCAAGATAAAGGAAAAAAAAAACAGTATATTTTTTTTTTTATTATATCCTTATAAAATAACTTATTATTCAAAAAAACAATTAAATATTGTGTTGAGATAGTTTAGGCAATAAACATTAAAGGATGAAGGAAGCTGTCAAATTCTTATTCAAGAATCGAAATACTAATAAAAGAAGTCAAAATTTGAGCCAAATGAAACTAATATAGCTGAAATAATAAAGATAATTATGGGTTCTTTATTCAAAACAGTAAATTCAGACCTTAAGCATGTAACAATATTTATAAATTTATCTATTGTAAATGGTATGTCTTTCAAATAATCATAATTTTCAGTTAAAGCTAACTTTTTTGATTAATAATTATATTTTATAGTATATTTGAGCAGACTCTATACATGGATATTCTGTAAGAAAAAAAGATTTTTAAGGCAGTTGTTATTTAATTATTAAATTTGCTAATTAATTTCTTAAAAAAGTATTGATTATTTTACTAACTCATAAATAAATTGGTTGTTTATTAAATATCATTATCTAAACATTCATAATATTTTAGATATTTGAAAAAATTGATCTATATTAATCAGAAATACAAAGGGTTAAATAGAATAAAAAAGATAGTGTTGAAATAAAGAATACGATTATTTAATATTATAATTTATTCTATTTTAAATGAAGAAAAGAATGATAGAAATAGATTAGGATCTTTGCTGCTCATAGAATCATAATCTTCCTATTTTAATGGTTATAAGTGATAACAATTTTATTTCTTTTATGTAGAGAATGCATGAAAAATATTGAGGTATTTTAATTTGATGATGTATAAAAAGGTTTTCTAAGAAATTGAGCACAACGAAAGAGAAGGAAAGATTTTTTAGAAAAAATGATGAATTTCAAAAAGTTGCATAACCTTCGTTAAAGTATTAAAAAAAATTTAAGCTCAATAAAAATTAGTTAAAATTTATCACTCAGATTATACAATTTTGATCATTTATTATAAAGTCCTTCTTTAGCTTATAATAGGCTTCTACTTTCAAAATATGAATGCCTTCATTTAATGTATTGCCCAAATTCAGTATTCTAAATTCTTCTACTAATTAATCTGGAAAAGTTATAGTAAGGACACTTTAAGCTTGAGAAGTTTCATAAACTTTAGTTTCTGAATCTCCTAATTTTGTATACAATACAAAAGATTGTAATCTATCATTATAATTATAATCTTTATCTCTATCAAATATCCATATTTTAAATGTGTTTAATTCGTGCTTTTACTTTAATCTAATATTCATAGACTGAGCATATAAACACTATGTGTATCCATTTGTCCAAATTATTTTGTAAAGGGTATCTCTGAAAAGACTTCCTTCATTTCCAATCAAAAATTGATTAGTAGTTTTAGATGATAATAATGTTCCGCTAGTCTCCTGCAATACGTTTTTGTATTATCCTCTGATAGCATTATGTCCTTTATTGTTTTTAACATCACATACTTAGTGTGTAACCGTAATTAATAGTAGAAAAATGAAAATGCACTTTAACAAGGTATTTTCAATCATTTGAATGCAATTTATTATGGGTTTGGGTTTGGGTTTGGGTTTGGGTTTGGGGTT